TATGCTTTGGCCAGCGGAGAAGCTGGGATTCCTTCTTTGCAAGTGGCTACACAGGTACAGATAATGGCTATCATCGAGGGAAAACCACCACTGTCCTGCAGATTAACAAATGCTATTTATGACCACACAGAAAGAAAAGTCTCTGGCGCACTCCACTAACTATGAAAATTACAGAATTAGGTTGTTTGCCAAATGCAGCTCTTAGTTTGTGATGACTAAAAGGGTTGCAGAGAGTTCTCCCCTAAAACTGTCCTTGTCTGGAGTGACAAAGGGAACTGTCCCCTAGCATTTGATGAAAATGCTGCCACAATGCTACCAAATGTCCACTGCTGGGTTCAGGTGGGGAAGGTGAGGGACAGAACAAAGAATTCACTTCCTTTCTGAGTGAGGTCCTCACTAGGGCAACAAAGCTGTTTTCAGTTTCATTTTGAAGGGGCTGGGCAAGCCAGCTTCCCACAGACAATTTTCTTTTGAGCCATAGAAACTGGGGCCCGGACTACAAGGTCTGTCATACTTTTATTTACTTTACTATCTGAACTTAAGATCAATTTATCTTTTCAGTCTTAGCAAATTTAAATGTAGTTTCCACATTTTTGTTAAAAATTTTGACTTTCCATTTAAAAATAATTCATATATCTTTCAAGAGAACTCAACATGCTTAATGTTATCTAAAAGCAAACGTAAAAGCAACCATCCTCACAGGGTCAGGGGTGAAAAAGACTTGTTCAGTTAGGGTCTTTGTGTCATGAAGGAAGAAAGGCTGTGTGGAGGGGAACAGGACCAGGCCATTATGGAGATCTCAGTTAGGCTGTAATCTTGGAAATGATTATTACAAATCTCTGCACACATCAGAAAAGTATATAAATCAGGACCCTGAGAAGAAGGCCCCTCTCACAAGGTCATGCATGTTTTCTTTTGTGGTTGTATACTCCGTAGTAAGTTATTTCTGAAATCTGCCAAGAAGACCTGAGACGAAGAAACCGCAAGATGTATGTCCAGTCTGAACAGACCTTTACAGGTCTCTGGCCCAATCCTGTGGTTGTCATTTGCATAATTGCTAATCTGCAATCGGAACAGCTTGCGTGCAGGAGCAACCACAGCACAGCATATTCCCTGGCTGGTGTTTATCTATGCTATTATCTCTCTAAATGTCTTTTGTGAAAAATTCCATTTTGAAGTAAAAGTAAAATGCTGGAAAAGAAAAACTTCCCAACTTGAATTTCTTCCATTTTTTTGGCTTCACTTCTTATCATTCTGCAGAGTAAGAGCTCCTAAAAGGGTGTGAATTTTGTTTTCATTAACATACATCATTGCCACTCTGGCACAGCCCCCAGCAGCAAACCAGGAAAAGGGGGTGGGGAGGATCTTCTAAGCGGACAACCTGTCTGTGATCATGACTTTTGTTCAACTGTATCCAATGTCTAAAAGTCACTGAAGATGAAAGGAAACCTAGAATTACACATGGAAAGACTGGTCCTGGTCTCTTGATGCTGACAAACAATGACAAGCAAAGAACATTCGCACTTGTGTAAAATACCTGGTGCAGAATCCATTTTCCCTCAAGGTTCCAAAGGGCACCGCTACACTCTGTCTGGGAAACTCTCGTCTGACAACAGCTGGCAGGCTCCAGCACTGAGAGCTGTCGGCACCTGGCGCAGGAGAAAAGCCCAGCAGGATCTGTTTTTGAAGAGCAGCTGTGTCCACGGATGGCCCCACATCAGGCAAGAAGTCCCAGCAAGGCAGGGAGCTGGATTTCATAGCAGGATGCTCTCCACCTGGGCAAATGCTGAAAGTGGCACCGTCTGGGACATGGAAATGCTGGAAAGACAACAGAGTGGCATGCTCACGACAGCAGCACAGAGAAGTGTCCCTTCTGAGAAACTATAACCTGGTGCTTTCACAGAGTGGCCTTGATGGGGACACAGTGTGCCTCCACTCACAGGCCCTAATGTGGCAGTGGCAGCTGTGGGAGCAGGGGCTGCTTCCCGGCATAAGGAGACAAGACGGCACCACACTGACCGAAATAAAGTCAACGCCCAGTGCCCACTGTCCCCCAGTGCTGCAGAAGTCCCCGTGGCCTCGGGAAGGAGATTCTATGCACTGGGGAAGGGGACATGTTGAAGAAAGATTTGAACGAGATTCAGGAAAAGGAACTGGGTGCTCAGAACACAAACTGTGAGGTTCAGTTGCAGGAGGAGCACCCCCTGACCCCAGCCTTCCAATGGGGTTTTACAGTTAGAACCTCTCAGTAGAAATATTTATCACCTTGATTTTGTTTGTTTGGTGTGTTTATTTACACAAGCATGTGTGCGCACACACACATACGCACACACTCACCACACACATACATACCACACATACACACAGACACCACACAAGACACCACACACAGAGAGACACCACACACACACACACACACACACACAAGACACCACACACACACACACACACACACACACACACACCACACACGACACCACACACACCAACACACCGACACACACAGACACACACACACACACACACACACACACACACACACACACCTAGGTATCAGTTTCT